CAAGCCCGTCCCTCTCCCCAGCAGCACAGTACCCGGGCGCTCCTCCGGCAGGGCATGAGGATGCCGATGCAGACCTTGGAAAGCCAGAGCAGGGTAAGATGGAGGGAGGCCACCTTCTCTTCTGCTTTGCAGCAAAGCTGGGGGCCGATGCAGCCTGCACTGCTGCCCCGAGGAGGGAGCAGGATGGGTGCCGGGGCGCGGGTGCTGCCAAGCCCGGCTGTCACGGAGGGAGCAGGATGGGTGGGGGGGCGCGGGTGCTGCCAAGCCCGGCTGTCACCCCATGGGATGGGGAGAGCGGCCGGAGGCTGAGCTGCTCCCGGGCTGCAGATGCCCCTCGCTGTTGTTTTGACTTTCCTGGTCCAGCCTGGTCCTGGCAGATATCTGTCTGGCATTTTTCTTAACTCACACCCCCAGGAAGGGGGGAAATCCAGCGGTGCTGGAGGCCACCCGTCCCCACCACCTCCATCCCCGGAGCCAGAGTGGTTTTGGGTTTCCCCTGCCGCCCGATCTGAATGTCCCTGGTTGCAAAAGAAGCCAATTGCTCGACTGGACTCAGTTGACCCACAGACCAATTTAATGCTGTTCCTCCCCAACAGCCTTTTTACTACTGAAAGACCGTGATTGTGTCCCTTTTTTCATCCCAAACTCATACGGTGCGTTTCCAAAGCATGAGCTTCCTTTGCCGGGGCTCCCCACACCCACCCTACAAGAGGGGTCCCAATCCATTTAAACCTTCGTATTTTCCATGCCAGCTTGGCCTTTTTCTATAAATACCTTGCCTGGCTTGTCAAAAATACTTATTCTGTGATCCATTCTGAGAAAAAAAAAACCAAACAGGGCCTTAAAATATTCCTAGGAATTCCCTTAATGACAATTTCTGGGTACTCCGAGTGTGACAGCGCTGGGGGTGACTTGCCCAACTCCTAATAAAGAGGAGAATGATTCAAACCATGAGGATGGCTGGGCTTGATTTATGGTGTTCCTGGCAGGAATGGAGGGAGGGACTGACATGACCGCTCCGCTGCTATGTCCTGTTTCCTATTTTCTTGAGGAGAACCACCAGCAAAATTAAAAGTTTTAAAGAGTCAATGCTTAGCCATAACGTATAGGATTCCAGGAGAAAAAAATTATGGGGGAAAAATTATTTTCCCCATCTTTTTACATTGAAAAAGGGGTCTCTTTGCTGTCTTGTTCTACATGGAGGTGCAGCACAGCTCATACCTGCAGCACACACTGCGTGGGAAAGCGCTGCGAACAATTAATAAGATCAAGGACCATAAATGCTGTTGATGGAGTGGACTGAAGGGAAGCTGAACAAACCAGGTCGATATTGATTTTAATGCCACCGTTATCATTTTAGGAAGCAGAAAAAATGGAACTTGCGCACAGGAAAAAAGGAGAAGAAAGTTGATTTCTTGTGTTAATAGGAAGTCACTGGAGATAGGTGACAAGCAGAGGTGAGGTTTGGAGTAGGTGTGATAACCTCCACGGAGCCTGGATGGCTATACCCCTTCCCGTCCCATGACCGGGCATCCCGAGACCCAAACATTCCCCAAGGAACTGTGGCACCAAAGCAGCTGTGACCCCTGGGAAAATCCCCCTGATCTTGGGAATCACAAGGGATGCTCCCCGTCAGCTGCAGCATCACCCACGCCTGGCATCACCGCAACAACCATTGCCCAAATAGCAACTCCTAAGCCAAATTTCCCCCAAATTTGGGGAGTGTCCCAGGCAAATATATGTATTTTTCCACTCTGGCCTACGGCACTGGGACCTGGGGTGGCTTTAGGACTCCTGGGCACTGGGAGGCAAGCCCTGAAGCGGGTAAAACCGGGATGATTTCCACTTCTTTCTACATTGCTGAGAGCTCTTGACGCTTTGCTGCTTAGCTCTCCCATGCCGCAGCCCGGTGCCTCTGGCACGGGGAAAATCTCCCTGCCGAAGTCTGAATGAGCTTCCCGGGCTGTTGCTCGCACACAGGGAAATAGTTTGCAAGAAATTCCCGGCTGTGCTGCCTGCCCCAGGGCGTGTTTCCCATTTTCCCTTGCCAGCCACTGGCAGGGCTGCGGGACACCTCGCTCCCTTCCAGCCCGCTGCTGCCAGCACCGGGAGCGACTGAAAAACCCCAATTTGAGGGTTTTTTTTTTTATTTTATCCTCCTCCCACTGGGATCCCTCTCACCCAAGGGAACTGAGGTTTTCCCTTGCCAGGCTGCCCATGAATTTGTGGAGCCAGAGGTGCTGGAATCATCCCGCTGGCAGCAGGGTCGCAATTAATCTCCAGCTTGTTGAGCTCCAGAGAGGATGAGGGGGTAGAGAGCCTTGATTATATGAAGCCCCTTTAAAATATCCCGGATTTGCCAGAACTTTTACAAAAAACCCCAATTTTTTACTCGGGGTGGGGGTTCTCCCGCCCGTGCGGGGAGGCAGGATCGGTGCCGTGGGGGTCAGCGATGCAACCCCCTGCCCTGCAAAGCTTAACTTGTTTCTTGGTTTAAAAAAAAAAAGAAATAACCCTCCTAACCGTATCTGATTGCAAAAGATGTTTCTGGCTCTCCCGAAATCTCACAGGGGGGATCTGATTAGGATCAGTCGGGTGTTTAAAAACAAGGGCTATTACAGCCGTTATTTATTATAAATGACAGTAAAGGTTGTGTACCTTAGATCATTATTTTTATTATACCATCTGTGCAGCTCCATACATTTCCCATTTCTCTGTATTACCCATGTGGGAGTAATTGTGGTTTTCTTCCAAGAAATGTGTGTGTAATCTGGTAATCCCAAAAAACCCCTCGGAGGACAGGCTGCGGATGGTCCTTACCACTCCGCTGCGGCCAGCGGCCCCGGCTGGGCACTTTTTTTTTTGGGACTGGGGAGAGTGGTTGGGATCTGGACTCATGAGGGATAGGGGAGGCTGGCTGGGGACTGGGGAGAGTGGTCTGGGATTGGGGATGGACCGATCTGGGACCTGGGGAGGCTGGCTGGGGACTGGGGAGAGTGGTCTGGGATTGGGGATGGACTGGCTGGGGTCTGAGGAGACTGGTCTGGGATTGGGGATGGACTGGTCTAGGACTGGGGATGGACTGGTCTGGGATTGGGGACACTGGTCTGGGACTGGGGATGAACCGATCTGGGACTGGGGAGAGTGGTTGGGATCTGGACTCATGAGGGATAGGGGAGGCTGGCTGGGGACTGGGGAGAGTGGTCTGGGATTGGGGATGGACTGGTCTAGGACTGGGGATGGACTGGTCTGGGAGTGGGGACACTGGTCTGGGACTGGGAATGGGCTTGTCTAGGATTGGGGATGGACTGATCTGGGACTGGGGATGGACTGATCTGGGACTGGGGATGGACTGATCTGGGACTGGGGATGGACTGATCTGGGACTGGGGATGGACTGATCTGGGACTGGGGATGGACTGATCTGGGACTGGGGATGGACTGATCTGGGACTGGGGATGGACTGATCTGGGACTGGGGATGGACTGATCTGGGACTGGGGATGGACTGATCTGGGACTGGGGATGGACTGATCTGGGACTGGGGATGGACTGATCTGGGACTGGGGATGGACTGATCTAGGACTGGGGATGGACTGGTCTGGGAGTGGGGACACTGGTCTGGGACTGGGAATGGGCTTGTCTAGGATTGGGGATGGACTGATCTGGGACTGGGGATGGACTGATCTGGGACTGGGGATGGACTGATCTAGGACTGGGGAAACGGGTCTGGGGACACTGGTCTGGGACTGGGGATGGGCTTGTCTAGGACTGGGGATGGACTGATCTGGGACTGGGGATGGACTGGCTGGGGACTGGGGAAACGGGTCTGGGACTGGACCAGTTTGGGTCTGGGGACACTGGTCTGGGAGTGGGGATGGGCTTGTCTAGGACTGGGGATGGACTGATCTAGGACTGGGGATGGACTGGTCTGGGAGTGGGGACACTGGTCTGGGACTGGGAATGGGCTTGTCTAGGATTGGGGATGGACTGATCTGGGACTGGGGATGGACTGATCT